ACACACACACACACACACACGTACACCAGGTAGTCGCCAGATTTTAATCTGGGTGGCTGTTGCTGCTTGTATTACAGAGGACTGAACAGAAGAGCCTCCCGTCTGCCCGAGCTTCTGCTGCTGCCGCACTGGATCACAGGCAGCTTTAAGCCATTCACTTACATTAGTCCCTATCACTCAATTATACACTGTCTGACTGGGCCTGAAGCAATCAGTCACACTTATCTCTGAGATAGTTCCTGACAGAACAAAGACTGACTCAAAGAGTGACAGACTGGACTTTTTTTTTTACACAGGACAGACAGACGGACACATGGGCAGGGGGAGAAGATGAGGAAGAGGATAAAGTGAGCCAGATAGGAAAGTTGGATTAAAAGAGGACATAAAATTAAGTATTACTTTAACAGGAAAATGTGATAAATTGTCAAATATTGACCCTTTAGATATTGAAAAGATCAATCACATTGAAATGTCAGAAATAGAAAATAGCTTTTACACTATATTTGACAAAATTATTGTTTAAATGCTTAAAAACTGTCAGTATCATCCATCATCCATCCATTATCTATAGTGTTGATCCTTTGAGTGTCAATTTTACCCAACCCCAGTATGCGTGCCTTTAGAGGAAGCCAGAGTAGAAAGACCCAGACCGAACCGAAATATGAACCAGGAGCCCATTAGGCAACGTTGCTAACCACTGTACCACCGCACCAGACCCAGTTGTGATCAGTAGAAACAAAAATCCATATTAATCAATAAAATTAGTTGTTATTGCATTGAATGGTGGTTTACTGGATTAATTGCTTTTATCTATTTGGTCTCATTTGAAGGGTAATTGTTTAACAACTTAATACATCTGGTATATTATCAGCTGCCAAAGAGAAAACAATTTATAGAGAGATGTTTTAAGATGTGGAAGCCCAAGTCAAAAAAAAAGAAAGAATGTATATATACATATAATGAGATCTAAAAGTGTAAAGAATAGAAAAAGAAAGTGTGGGTGGTTGATAAGAGCGGGAGGGAGGAGGATGGACTACAAAGCGAAGGCACGGTACAGCCGGAAGGGACATTGAGAAAGATAGAGACAAAGACAAAAGACGGATCCTAAAAAGCATAGCTAAAGGCAAACCGTGTGCCACGGCAGAGAACACTGAGTTTCCTAATGTGATTTGATATTCTCACTGCTGATTCACCAAACGCAATTAGACATACTAATTCTCTTTGCCCTGTTGAAACAGTGGCAGACTGACAGAAATGTCAAGGAGCGAAAATGTATATTTGTTAAAAGCAAGCTAAGCTGAGTGTCCTCAATCTATTCTACTGAGGAAGGTGGTGAACTAATAAGGGTTATTAAAACATCTGTTGTCGTCAAGAAATTGACCTTATGAAAAATCTGTGGCTGATGTGCACACTGTGTATAACGATTGTTGAGTAAACATGTCAACATATGGCTGCTCATAACCATGAGTGTGGGGATTTTCCCTGACCAATCAGCAAATTCAAGAGGTGAAACAGATGTGGTTTTAGAAAAAAAATCCTGTTTCCTTCCGATGGTCCTTATTTATGATACATGGGGTCCAGCTGCAGACTTGATTATTACTGTTTATAATCAGTTAGTTCTCATTGTGACACAAGGGATAAACACCAGCTGCATAAGCTGTCACCATAGTCTGATTCCCCAAGTGGATCCACGTAGCTCTGATGACGCAGGATGACATCATAAAAATTGGCGATCATATGGCTTAACCTTTGGTAGGAAAGAGTCAATGGAATTAACCAAGTGCACTAAACTAAACCGTATTAACAGTGACTGAAGTCTTTGACCCGAGACTTTATATAAAGATGAACAACATGTCTGCACTTCCATCCACTATCTATACAATGAAAACTAAATATCCTGGATAAGAAAGCCACCATCTTGTGCATTTGAAGCCAGTGTCGTGTGCTGTAGCGATTGGGGGATGGAGCTGATCCAGATACAGGCTTGACCAATCATGACTTTTTCAGATTAGTCCATGTCCCATCCACTAACACGGAGGAGGGGGGATTTATGACATAAACTGCAGGCAGCCACCAGGGTTAGATCACAATGCTTTGGCTTCACTATTGAAGAGCTCCCAGGTTTTCCATCTTTGGATACAATCTACGGTCCCAACACACCCTATCTTTTGGTTTATTTTTGAGACAAGTTAAGTCCACGGGTGCATTGTCCTCACGTCCCATCCTTAGCAGTGCTGTCTGCTGTTTAGTGTCCATTGCTATCACCTCGTAAGCCAACACTGACACTGACTGTTTCAGACCTGAGTAAATTGCACCCTGAAGGTTTTTAAATCGTCTGCTCTCATCTGTTCCTCTGTCTCGTTATGGGATAATTGAACAAGTCCTTAAACCAGAGGTTCACTGCACAAGTTGAGGATGCCACCTTGTCATTCACGGTGGAGTCTTAAAACACACAGCAC